ATTATTAGCTTCTAGTTCCAGGGAAATCTTCATATTCATAAGAAACCTCACTCAATTTTTTTCCTTTTTGGCCTACTTAAAGTCCTTGGAATGGGAAGTTATGACACTAATATTTTCAAGAACTGTGCAGATACCTCTGAGAAACCTGTAAGGTCCTTTAAAAAAAAGTCCATAACTTTAGAGGGAACAGGAAAGGGAATTTTTATACAGAACAAGACTAGAGTCAAAGGCCCAGACATGAAGCAGCTCACAGAAAGACTGTTGTGTTTTTGTTGTTGTTGTTGTTGTTGTTGTTGGTTTTGTTTGTTTGGGCTCGTTCACAACTGAGAAACTATTAAAATCGCAAATCACAGTCCAGATTTGGAGATACTGGGGGAAAAGCCCTGACCTTTTATCTTCACTTAGATACTTCCCTTTCACTGTAAGTGCAACCCCAACTGCATCTCAACCACTCTCTACTTTTGAGTATTTTATGATCAAGGCTACAATTTTTTGAGGTAGTTCTCAGATCTTTCATCACATTGCCTATCATTCGTTTTGTGAAAATATGTTGTCCCAGTTCTTAATACAACCTCTGTATTTGGATAGAATGATCATTAACTATCGCCATTAGAAAAAACATTCAGGTGCCTTTATATACCCACACAAATAGGCATTTACAAAAGAAATTCCACAGACATATTCCCTTTATTTTTTTTCCATCAGCCAAAAATAACCTCAACCCAAGACAATTATTTTAAGTGATAAATTTTTGCTCTCCCATTTTTATCCCTAAACCCCATCTCAAACCCTGAAACCTCAAAAGGAATCACAAAAGGCTACATACCTTATCGGTCCTCAATAAAGGATGAGTGATTGTTGTTACTGCACTGGTCTTCATAATTCTCATATTATAAAGATGACAATCATTTGTTTAGACAATTGTCCTCAATTCATTTTTGTCCTAAACTTTAGCATCTCCACAGGAATCACCGTAATCTTTAATAAAAACAGAGCTCACTTAGGGTAGAAGCTCAGAAAATTTAGAAATTTTGGTTTTAAAAATCCGTCGCCTACTGCAAGACCTTCATGTGAAAAATCATATGGAGTACTCTTTACCCTGATCTCTTCTTCTTCCCCCCCCCTTTTTTTTTTTTGCTATCTTCTCTGGTTTACAACAGACACAGCTATGTTACAGCCACAAAGCAAAGTTTTGCAACAGAATGGCCTTGAAATAGAATACTGCCCAGCTGAAAACTTAGGCAATCAAAATGGAATAAATGAAATCGTGCCTGCTAGACTTCACATGTCATTTCTTATAAGGAAAGCTATCACCTTTTTAGGAGAATGTTATTCTTTAGGTGACCCTGTACCCTCTCCGTATCAGCCATAGCAATGCAACTAAGACATACCCCTATTATCTACAAGTGCTGCTTTAGTCACTAAAATGCAGTGTCTGAAACTATGTTAAGTGCTATAGCTTGGAAACAACTATAGTGTTTCTCTTAAAAGTGCTAAAATCACGGGGTGCCTGGCTGGCTCAGTAGGTGGAGCATGCGAGGTTGTGAGTTCGAGCCCCACGTTGGCTATGGAGATTACTTTAAAAATCTAAAAAAAAAAAAAAAGGTGGCAAAATCGCTGAGGGCACATAAACTCTTTAAAAATGGACTATAAAAGTACTTTAGGGGCTTCAGCCCATGAATCAACCGCTGCAGTAATGCTCTGAAACCAAAGCCTGTTTCTCAAAAATGTGTTAGTCTGTATGGGGTTTTTTTGTTTGTTTGTTTGTTTGTTTTTTTGCAAGAGGTCCCACTCTGGCCACAGATGACTTGCTTGGGTTTCAAAGTTTTCTTTCTTTCTTTCTTTCTTTCTTTCTTTCTTTCTTTCTTTCTTTCTTTCTTTCTTTCTTTCTTTCTTTCTTTTTCTTTCTTTTTTTCCAGTTTTGATTCTGAAATGAAATTGAATTGATAAAAAGCAATATATGGGCCACCCTGATAGACTGAAAATTCTCAGGCAGCACATGACTCATGATAACTGTGTCTTATGCTGTCATTAGAACTGCTTATCTGACCATCTCACAACATTTTGTAAACATGTATCCACTCAACAACCAGCCTGATGGGAAAAACTTGTCCACAGTTTTTCTCCATTCCTACACACCTATGATCATTTTTAATGTGGAAATGTAAAGAAAGGTTTAAAACACTTTTTTTTCAGTAGTAGTTGTGGGTAAATTGCCAGCGTTCTTATAAATGTCACAAGCCAGTGGCCAAGAGTTCAGTAATATGGTTTTCCTAACCACACAACAGTATATTCATCCGGTCAGCAGTCTCATGATCTATCTAGCGGCTTTAATCGTGTGACCGGGTGCACTATTTTATGATAATTAGGTGACACTAAAGCCTCAGAAAAAGCATGATTCCAGGGCAATAGAAGATGCCAGTTTCCTTAGGTCTTTTTTTTTTCTTTCTGTAGAAGTTTCTTGGGTTCTTGGCTGGTTGGAATAACTTATGTAGGGACTGGAGTTGGTTGAATTATTTATAACTTAAGATTTTTATTACATAGTTTAACAGAAACTCATGCACTGAATAAGCTGTTATCAACACACTTAAATCCTTCCTCATATAGCCCTTGAAATTCTGAGGAGTTTCATGAAATTGTTTTCTCTTAATCTAGTTCATTTTGATAGTTAACGGTGAAAAGCCATTGTTCATCTTTGTAACAGAGTGAAAAGGATGGCCTAATTTTGGCCTGAAAAGTGAAGAATGTCTGCATTTGTAGCAGCGTCTACATGGTACAATGAAAACTGGAGATTCGGTGTGCACCCAGTTTCAGTAATTTTGAGAAATGGGGAAAACTAGTTTGGACTTTGTGGTCTAAGTTATTTGGTTTAGGTTTGACTCTTTGGGTTTGACGCCTTACTTTTTTTTTTTTTTTTAATACCATTGTTCAAAAAATGTGGCAATGTGTCCAAGTTGCTGATGATTCCTTTCAGAAAAAGAAAGCAAGGGAAGCAGCTATTACTGTCGTCAGCAAGAGTAGGCAAGCATGTTTCTCTTACATGCATTAAAAGCAAATACAGTCATTCGGCTTGCAGGGAAGGATAATCTGTCACACACAATGATTTCCGTGTTGTTATTCACAGATTGAGGAAAAAATTATTTGTAATTTTATTTTCATTTTCAAGCCCATTGGTATAAAGGAGCTGGAACTCAATTCTTGTAGAAGCTAATTATAATTCTTTAGCCTAAAGTTTCTTGGCTTAGCCTTAGTTTATGGTTCAGAATATTCTCAGGTTGCTGGCTTGGTTCAGAAAACCAAGCACTCTGTACAACTCTGAATTAGAAGTCTCAAAAAAAAAAAAAAACCCATAAAAAAACCCAAAACCCTACTTATCTTAATTACACTGTATTTTATAAGAAGATTACTCCCTCTAAAATTAGCTTTCTAATGGCAAAACAGCTGGCTGAAATGTGAAAAATTCAAGGACTCATCTTGTTTCTTCAAACATACAATTTCAACAACCTCTTTAATTCTTAGTCTCCATATGTTTTGCAGTTTTATAAGGTACACAAAACTATGGTACATTAAACTGTATTTATTTAAGTCTGATATGTATTGGATTTTATTTCCTGCTATATGTTAGCAATCCAAAATTAGAAATACTGTTCACTTTTAAATGAGGTTTGGTTCATAATCTCATTTCAGAATGAGAATCGAACTCACTTTTTCTTGAGCATCATTTGCCACTGGCCAACAGAGACTGTCAGAGACCCTACTGTATTTTTACCCAGTTAGACCATCTTTGCCTTAAAAAAAAATTATATAACACACAGTAAGAATAAGTTTTGGCAAAGGCGTAGAGTGGTAAAACTACCACTACAATCAAAATATGGAACACAACCCCCCAAAATTCCTCTATGCTACTTCCTTGTGATCCGACCCTCACCCCACACTTAAACTCAGGCAACCACTAATCTGTTCCTATAGTTTGTCTTTTCTAGAATGTCATGTAAATGGAATCATTTGTATGTAGTCTTTTGAGTCTGGCTTCTTTCACTTAGCAAAATGCTTTTGAGATTCATCCATGTTCTTATGTGTATCAAGAGTTTATTCCTTTTTATTGCTAGGTAATATTCCATTTTATGGATATACTGCAGCTTATTCATTGCCCAGTCAATAGAAATCTGGGCTGTTTCCAATTTTGGGTTATTACAAATAAAGCTATTATTAATATTTATGCTCAGGTTTTTGAATGAACATAAGTTTTAATTTCACTCTGGTTAATATGTAAGACTGAGATTGCTGCATCTATGGCAATTCTATGTTTAACTTGGTAAAAAACTGCCGAGCTGTTTTCTAGAGTGTCTGTACCATTAGGTATTGGTCACCAGCAATGCAAGAATGTTTGAGAGAATGCAGTCGCTTCCTGTCCTTACCAGCTCTTGGTATTCTCAGATGGTTTTATTTTAGCTATTCTAACAGGTGTAGTAGGATCTCATTGTGGTTTTAATTTATATTTCTGTAATGACTAATGTTGAGGAACTTTTCATTGCTTATTTGCCATCCATGCCTCTTCTTTGGTGAGATATATATTTAAATCTTTGCCCATTATTTTATCAGGTTGTTTGTTTTCTTATTGTTGAATTTTGAGAATTTTATATATATACATATATATATGTATATATACATATATATATATATTCTGGACACAAGTCAGTTGTCAAATATCATTTGCAAATACTTTCTCCCTGTGTATGCCTAGTCTTTTCATTCTCTCAACAGTGTCTTTTCATTCTCTTAACAACAAATTTGCATTTAAATCTGTGTTTTGAAACAGATTGGTCCTAGAAAATTCTTTGCTGCTGCCTCTTCAAATATTGCCTCTGTACCATTTTCTTGTTCCTCTCCTTCCAGAACTCCAATCAGACTGATGTATGTTAAAGAATATCTTACTTTATTTTCCATATCTATTAGCTGTTCTCATGTTTCCTTTTTTCTTTCTCTCTCTTTTTTAAAAGATTTTACTTATTATTTGAGAGCGAGCATGAGCAAGGGGAAGGGCAGAGGGAGAGAAGCGGGAAGAGGGAGAGACTCCCCCCTGCGCATGAAACCCAACATGAGGCTCGATCCTAGGACCCTGAGATCATGACCTGAGCTGAAGGCCCATGCTTAACCAACTGAGCCACCCAGGTACCCCTTCCTTGTCTCTTTTTAGTGTATGCTGAATAATTTCTGTTGTCATGTCTTTCTGTTCTTAATTTTCTATGCATTTGTGTCTAATCGCTGTTAAACCTGTCCACTGAGTTATTGATTTCAGTTACTATGTTTCTCATTTCTGGAATTTTTTTTAATGGGCTAGACTATTTTTTGTTGTTTCTTGTTTTGAATAGGTGTTTTCCATTTTGTATTTTATTTTTTTAAAGAAATAAAACATAGTTATTTCACTTTCTGTGGCTGATAATCAAATATCTGAAGTCTTTGTGGGAGTTTTATGTTGTTTCTGTTGGTTCTCACCCATATAACTTATTTGAGGGAGGGGGTTCTTAATGTTTGTTACTGTGAGCTGTTCATTTTCCTTAGAAAATAATTTGTGGTTTACTGAGATACATTCTTCCAGAAACAGTTTGCATTTGTTGTTCCATGCATGTGGGGCCTACTCAGCTTATAATAATGGACTGAGGATTTTGAGATCTATCTTGGTTGTAGATTATCATGAGATGACAGTCTTTCAGCAACAGAATTTTTCGGTCCTCAGTTCTGCTTAGTACCACTGGAATTTTTCTTGCAGTCATCAGAGGATGAATGGGTATGTAGGTTTTTCACCACCACCTAAAGGGTCCAAGCTTTATTATAGGATTATTTTATTTTATTAAAAAATTTTTTTAAGTAGGCTCCACACCCAGTGTGGAGCCTAATGCTGGGCTTGAATTCACAACTCTGAGATCAAGACCTGAACTGAAATGGAGTCAGACGCTTAACCGACTGAGCCATCCAGGCTCCCCTAGGATAATTTTATTATAGGATGACTTATTTATAGGATTCTCCAAGTCTTAAGCTTTATCTTCTGTCCTAGCTCCCCCTACCCAAACCAAAGCTGAAGTTCACCAGCTTAAGCAAATACAAGTTTGGGCAAAAACAACTTCAGGGCCATCGAATTGAGCAATTCCAGTGACATCATTTAGGTGAATAGAATATAAATGGTACCTCCTGGTGTTATATACCTGAACCATATTGTCAGTTACCTGTCTGGGTTCCTACTTTACTTTCCTTTGAGCTGATGATTTTTTGCTTTCTAGTTTATGCTTCAGTGCTTTGAAGAGGTTTAGGATTTTTTTTAAATTTGAACATTTTCAGTGGGAAGGGCAATCTGAATGTCTAGCCTGTCATATGCCTAGAAACAGAATTCTCAAAATTCAACTTTACATACCCTATAATTCATAAAAATATCTGATAGCCTCATTTGCACAAATAAAAATTACCCTTTTCTTTTTTTCTGGCACCAATGCTTTCATTAGGAACAGTTCAATGTAATCAGAGAGAATCCATAGTCACTTGTTCTTAACTATATTCCCCCATGAATTTTACTGGATTTACATTGAAATACCAAAGTAGCACAAAGGTTTAATAGTAACCACAATTTTTTTTTTAATGTTTCTCAGAAAATGAGTACATTAAACCAGAATCATGTGTGTTCGGTGCATAGAAAGTATTGTATCTCCATAGTTACATTAAACATAACAAGTACAAAGGGGAAATGTCTTTTGGTGGTTGATAAGCTAAAAGGAAGTGAGTCTTGTTGTACTACAATATTAGGAATGTTTTTAAACTTTAGTTCAAGAATGGAAGGTTTCAGATTCTCCTGTATTACCCCTTGCTCAAAAATAAGTAAAAGTAGTTAATGGAAAAACCAAATGTAGAGTCAATGCTAAGAGTTGGTGTAGGGATATCATGTAAAAACATGATACAGAGATCATTTTCCGTGGTTTATTTAATTCTCTCTGTTATTTATGGTATGTTCTCTGAGGTATAACTCGAAAAATTCTAGCAATTAAAGAGAAAGGAAGTTAAACACTACATCAAAAACTAATGATGTACTATATGTTAGCTAACTGAACAGAATAAAAAAATAAATTAAAAAAAAATAAAGAGAAAGGAAATCTGTTTTAACCCAATGTTAGCCCTGCTCCGCAGTTGGAAAACATTATTTTATAACACATACCAAATCAGCCTTGGAGACGACAATGTCCGTTTGTGCATGGCATGTTGTAGATATTCAGTGTTTGTTGAACCAATTAATTAATGGACAATTTATAATGGGCTGTTGTAAGGAAAGTGTGCAGTAGATAAATGTTGACTTGATCAAGGTACGGAAAGAACATTAAAGAAGGAAGATCCCTGGGATTCAGTACCCATTCTGGTTCTCCTTAGTGCTATGGCTTTGGGTAATCCTCAACCACCTTGGGCCCCAAGTTTCTTCATCACTTGCTCTAGTCTTGGGTCAAACTGCATTACCACTCCTGTACATGCTACGTGATTTCCCAATTCAGTGTCTTTGTTCTTACAGTTATCTATCTAAAATGCTTTCCTCCATCACTGCATGACTAAGTCTACCTAGCCATGGCATCCTACTTCTTAATAATCCTCCTAGGACCAATATTCCCCTGCCAAGCTTCCTTGACACCCCCGCAGCTAGAAGTTACCTTTCCCCCGATCTCACACAGCACTTTTTTCTTTAAACTCAATGATGTCATTTAATGTTTTATAGCTTATATTATGATTTCTTATGTAGATATCTGTACTACTCTGCTTCTCTTTGAGGGTGCAAGCTCATAAGGGTAGGGCCCATGCCTGCTATATTTTTGTACTCCCCTCATAATATCTAGAAAAATATACTGAAGATTATATGTGCTCAGTAAATATCTGCTGAATCTGAAAATAGGGAATAATAATGCTTTTCTTATCAATGAGAGAGGTCTGTGTTAGATGGTAGCTTCAGGCCATTTCCAGCTTTTAGACCAATGATTAAGGAACACTGATGAGGAATGCTGGATATAGATAAGTATTTATCCATTATGAGGAGAAGAAAAGAGAATACTTGGGTGGATCAGAGTCCATTTAAAAGCTGAGATGAACAGAGAAATTACGGTGCAAGAGTAGAAAGTGACAAGAGCCGTATAGATTATTCTAGTCATTTTTAAAAAGTTCTTTTCTCCACTGCCTTTTTTTTTTTTTAAAGATTACACATACCTGTGTACAGCTGGCATATTATATGCCCAATTTTGAGAGATTCCCTGAGGACTTGAGCCAGAAAGTGAATTGCAGTTTTAGAATGTAGTTAACAATTTCAAAGACATAATGTTGAATGAAAGAAAGGAGACACAAGACAGTCTATACTGTATGATTCCATTAGTGTGAAGTCCAAAAACATTTGTTTTTGAACTTTAAAACTAATTTCTGGTGAAAGAAGTTAAAACAGTGGCTAACCTTGGAGGGTGGTGACTAGTTCAGGACACAGGGTATGTTCAGATGTGCTGCTGGTGCTCTATATCTTGATCTGGGTTATGGTTATGTTTTATATGCACAGGTAAAAATGTTTTGAGTTCTATACTTAAGATGTGTGATTGTATGTAAGTTATAACCCAATTAAAAAAAAAAAGGATGCAGTTAACAATTGTGATTGTACCACATATAACTGACGGGCAGGTGAAGGATAGATCCAAGCTATGCAGTGTGTTTCCTGGAAGAATGAAGCACACTTTTAAAATTACAGAGTTTTCTCCGCAAACCTGTGACCAGATGGCTCTCATAAATAATGCATCAAAATATGGTTAGAACTATAAGAATTCGTGATGTGTGATAAAATGAAAACAACCAATGATCATATGGCTTACTCATTTTGACTTTCATTGTGATTTTCTGGGAGAGCCAGGATTACCAATAAATTGTCCTTCAGTAAGAATGGAGTAAGTACTGTAGGAGGACACTTGCTAGCTGTGTGAAACCTTGAATAAGTCACAGGCTTTCTGGGAATCAGATGCTTCTATTAAATGGAAAAATATTTTATCTATTCAAAGACAGAGGACAGGATCAATTGATCTCTTAAGACTCGTTCCCCTCTCAAAATCTTTGGTTTATGGAAGTTGGAACTATAAAGAACAACTCTGAGTAAAGCTTTCACACTATTAGAAATAGGATGGGAAAGTAAGTCGCTTTAAAAATCTGTAATAAGAGGCAACAAAAAATGTAGGTGGAAATGGAGTCCTGCCAAGCAGTAAGAGATCCAGGCAGAAAACATCTTTTCAGATGCAGCCAGCTACCTGAAACCATTTGCCATTTTTCCCTGGGGATTTCCGTAGCCTTTGGCAAGGGGTTTAACGTAATAATGCTAAAAGAAAGAAAGAAAAAGAGAAAGAGAGAAAGAGAGAGAGAAGGAAAGAGAAAGAGAGAGAGACAGGAGAACATTTTCAGACTTCCATCAAAGAAAATGTTCTATGGTAAGTTTTTCCTTTGTGGGTTCATATTTGCAGAGAAAAATAAAATCCATTGCAGAAAATGGTATTCCATAAAATATATGAGCAGAGAAAGAGCACTGTCTAAGTTTGGCTTAAATAAAATCTCACAACTAGGAGGAACTGCAAGGCATCATCTCTGCTTACAGTACTAGTAAGCAGTACTATTTTTCTTAAGAGGCAGCAGAGGCCCAGGGAAGCTAATGGACTTGCCGAAGGTCACGCAGAGGGAGGAGCACAGCCGGCCTGTTGTATCATCTTCTGCTGCACCAGGCTGCCCCCTGTGGTTCCTTTTGGATGACTTGAACTCTAAAGAAGAAGCAGGGAGGACTTCCACAGAGTAAATGGGAAGCTGATAGAACTGGGAGTCAGAAGACTCTAGCCCTTCTACCTATTAGCTGGCTTGGGAAATCATTGAACTTCTTCGAGCTTCAACTTCCTCATCTAAAGTAGCACCTCACCCTGTCACTGAGACAGAGGACAATTGAAGCAACCTATGAGAAAGTGCAACGTAGTTATTAAAGTGGAGAAGTTCTTATCTACTGAGTAAATTAAGGAATTAGTAATTACAAAACAATAGTAACTGATAAGAATGCCCTGGGCGGATGCACTGTTAACAGGATTCTTATAAAAGTCAATGGCCCATTTGCAACGACGTGGATGGAACTGGAGGGTATTATGTTGAGTGAAATAAGTCAAACAGAGAAAGACATGTATCATATGATCTCACTGATATGAGGAATTCTTAATCGCAGGAAACTGAGTGTTGTTGGAGTGGGGGGTGGGGTGGGAGGGATGGGGGGACTGGGTGATAGACACTGGGGAGGGTATGTGCTCTGGTAAGCGCTGTGAATTGTGCAAGACTGTTGAATCTCAGATCTGTACCTCTGAAACAAATAATGCAATATATGTTAAGAAAAAAAAAAAAGAAGAAGAAGAAGGTAGCGGGAGGGGAAGAATGAAGCGGGGGAAATCGGAGGGGTAGACGAACCATGAGAGACGATGGACTCTGAAAAACAAACAGGGTTCTGGAGGGGAGGGGGGTGGGAGGATGGGTTAGCCTGGTGGTGGGTATTTAGGAGGGCACATTCTGCATGGCGCACTGGGTGTTGTGCACAAACAATGAATCATGGAACACTTCATCTAAAACTAATGTTGTAATGTAAGGGGATTAACATAAGAATAAAAAAATAAAAAAATAAAAAGTCAATGGCCCTGTAACAGGAAATGTCCTTTGTTTATTTATCACAAGAGTCTAGTGTAATCACTTTTCGTAGGTCTCCAAGGACCATTCCCTAATGTGTAGATGCTGGTTGTAAAAAGAACCTTCTGTGAGGATTCAAGTCTCTATCTTCCTTTATACTTTGTATTACCTTTTTCAGTTTGTGAACCTAAGATGGTAAAAATGATGTCCTATTGTTATTTTAATTTTCATTTTCCTGATTATTAGCAAGGCTTGGCATCTTTTCATCTTACTGGAAGTGTAAATTGATAAAGCTTGATGGAAGGCGGTTGGATAGTACCGAGTAAAAATTTAAGTGCATATTCCTTTCAAATCAGAAATAGCATTTTTCAATTGCTCCCTTAGAGAAATAATGCTCAGATGTATGCAAATAGAGGCATGCACAAAGTGTTTCACCACAGCAGTGTCTAAAATAACAAATAACTAAAAACAACCTAAGTAACCATCAGTAGGTGAAGTGGTCAGATAAACTATAGACTATCCAAACCATGGAATACTGTGTAACCACTGGAAATGAATGAAGTAGAGAACATGAGAAAAAAAGCAAGTTGCAGAATAAGATGTACAATATAAACACCATTTACTTAGAAAATGAAAATAAAACCATGTATTTCTATATGCATATATATGCATGTAAACGATAAGCAAATGTCTTAAGAGTTATGTAACAAACTGAAAACAGGTTACCTAGGGGAAGGAGACCAAGTGAGCAGGTGGCCAAGGGAAACTTCCATATTCTTTGTATTGTTTAATTCTTTAAAACAAGAATGTATTTTTGTATTAATTGGCCAATTGATAAAAAATATAGTTTTAAAATGATACAGAACACTAAACAATAAAATTTAAGAGGTAACATTATTATTTCAGTATAAGGGACAACTTTTAGGTTATAGGTATTTCTTGGATTTTCCAGAGTTGTAAGGTAAGAAGAGTCCTAAACTAAAGCTGAATTAATATGATATCTGCCATTCAGGTCAAGAATAAAAAGTGTAGTCAAAAATCACAATCATCCATCTGGATATTTGATATCATGTAGAAAATGACTGATTTTTCTTTCACTTTTTGTCCAGATAGCAAATAGATACAGATTGAGGTTCACCCTTCATGCCATTAGTTTTAATTTACTTCAATAATTGCTGTGTCCATCATCAATATTTTAAATTGAGCAGAATCCATTTCAATGAGGTCAACTCTCCTTTTTGGCATTGGTTTTTTTTCTCTGATCACAAAAGTATCATATGCTTATTGTGAACAGGAAAAAAAAGGTTGGAAGTTTTGAAGAAAAGATAATGTAACCCCATCATCAAAAAGAAATTTTTTTTTAAGTGTTTTTTCCAGGGCACCCGGGTGGCTCAGTTGGTTGAGTGTCTGCCTTTGGCTCGGGTCATGATCCTGGAGTCCTGGGATTGAGCCCCAGCCCCTCATCGGGCTCTCTGCTCAGTGGGAGCCTGCTTCTCCTGCTCCCCCTGCTTGTATTCTCTCTCTGTCAAATAAGTAAATAAAATCTTTAAAAAATTTTTAAAAATAAAGTGTTTTTTCTGCTTTTGGCTTTTGGCTAGAGGAGGCAAAGGTATTAACTGTCTTCAGTCATCCGACACCAGCCACCTCCACCATGCCGCCTAAGTTTGACCCCAATGAGATCCAAGTCATGTACCTGAGGTGCACTGTTGGCGAAGCTGGTGCCACGTCCCTGAAGATCAAAGATTGGCCCGCTGAGTCTGTCTCCAAAAAAGGTTGGTGATGACATCACCAAGGCGACCTGTGATTGGAAGGAGAGTCTGAGGATTATAGTGAAACTGACCATTCAGAACAGACAGGCCCAGATTGAAGTGGTACCTTCTGCCTCTGCCCTGATTATTGAAGCCCTCAAGGAACCACCAAGAGACAGAAAGAAGCAGAAAAACATGAAGCACAGTGGAAATATCACTTTTGATGAGATTGTCAATATTGCCCGACAGATGCGGCAACGATCTTTAGCCAGAGAACTCTCTGGGACCATTAAAGAGATCCTGGGGACTGCTCAGTCTGTGGGCTGCAGTGTTGGTGGCCACCACCCTCATGACATCATAGATGACATCAATAGTGGTGGAGTGGAATGCCCAGCTAGCTGACTACAAAGGAAAATATTTCAATAAAGGATGATTTGACAACCAAAAAAATAAATAAATAAATAAAGTGTCTTTCCCTTTGCATATAGGTATTCAAGGATTTGAGTTAATACTATTATGCATACAGTTTTGTGTCCCCCTTTTTTTCAATTAACATTTTATGATAAGCATTTCTGCATACCATCACAGATTCTTCAAACATGTTTACAAGGGCACAGTGATATCCCAAATTATGGGTACACTATAATTTATATATCTCTTCTCCATTATAGGAAATTTAGCTTGTTTTCAGTATTATACTTAATTCTATGAAGAACATCCTTGCATATAATTTTTTCCTCCCATCTTTGATTATGTCCCTAGGATACATGCCTAGAAATGGAATTATAGGATTGTGCTGGTCGTTTTCCATTCCTAGCCCCTGCTCCCTTCTCTGCCTTTCTTTATTCTTCTCTCTGTCTTTATAGATAGCATCTCCAGGATTCCTCGCCTTTGGCTTCCTTGGGATTCAGTTAGTGGGTGGCACTAAGAGGAGACAGGGCGAGAAGAGAGAAAAGTAGGGATATCTCCTCCCCACTCTCTCCCTGCTTTGGGGCAGTGGCTGCATGCCCCTCCCCACCTTCAGCCCAGCCCCCTTTCTTGGTGGTCCCCCCTCCACTGTTCTAGCTCTTATTACTGGATTCTAGTCCAAGATTATTTCCTCCCTCGGTCCTTTAGCTCTAGGAATGGTAACAGCTTCCCACTATTGCTCTTTTTTCGGTGCCTCAACATCCTTCGTTTACTCCTTTAACCTGGCCTGCCCATCTGTAAGTAGTCTTTTTATTAAAGTCTCTTCATTTGAACCATCCTGGAGAAACCCCTTTCCTTTTGGGATCCTGACAGACACAGGGTAAAAGAATATAAGCTTCTGAAATGCATTCTTGGTAGATATTGCCAAATTGCATTGCAGAAAGATTATATCCATTTGCGCTCCCATTAGTAGAGTATGAAAGCCTGAAGAGATGAGCTCTTTAAGTTGCAGTAGATTTTTGAAGGCATTCAGTCTCCTGTTTGTTATCTGGTGCCTGATGTCACTCAGAGGCAAAGCATTCTGCCATAGGCCACTGAAAGAAAAGTCATGCACGCAAAGGTGAAAATATGGGGATAAACATTTGTCTATTATTTACAAACTTGAGATTCCCAGGGAAGGAAGAGACCCTGGATTTTATTGTGAAAACGACTTCTTTGACACCAATGAATAAGGAAGAACACACCTGCCTGGGCACACAGTATGGTGTGGTTTGGGGGTGTCAGCTCACCTGCAGATGACGGCTAAATTCTAGCCCAGGAAACCAATGGGGATGCAGTGCTGCAGCCTGTAGGTCTTAGTATCCACTTTGTGGAAGAATTCCTACTTCATCTAATTAGTTCTGGCCTTTTTAGGAGAGCAGTTTGCAGGTACATGGCTTATGAGAAAGAGAATCCACAAAGACATCTTCCATTACTTCCTCTCAAATGAGAAGCAACTACACTATGGATATTTTATACCATGCTTGCTAGCATGGGTCTGAGATTTTAGCCAAGTGAGCTGGATGTTTATACTATAGCTGACTCCTGACACAGGTGGAAACATTGTGCTTTTCCATTTTCTTGCAAAGTAATGAGACACCTAGTGGGCACAACATGAAAATGTCCTTATGGGAGATGGTGAGTTCAGTCAATACCCAGGTAAATGATATCCAATAAGTGCCTTACTGCTTAAATCTACAAAAATATTCTTATTAGAGAAATACCCAGAGCCAGGAATCAGACCAACTGTTCATGCATATTGGATAATCAAGATGCATTATTACCATATATTTTTCTAGCACTCAATAGTTATCAAAGTCCTTTAAACACAGTTTTTTCCCATGACGCTCAGCATAATGGTTTCCCCTACTAGGTTATTAGCTCCCCGAGGGCAGGGGTCATATGGGTTTCTTTCCAGAACCAGCTCACTGTCTAATATGTAGAAAAGAGGTGCTCAGTAAAAGTTTGATGAACTGAAGTCATCTGAACAACTGCTGCAAGCAGTGGGATAGTTTGATTTTTTTCTGAGGAAACAAAAGGTCAATGAGTCAAGATAATTGCCTTCTAGCTAAATAAGTAGAAGAGCCAATCATGAACCACACCCTATAATCCTTCACTTTGCCCATGCCCATAGTATGTAGGAAAGCCCCCTTGCTCTCATAAATGCCCACTGGCCTTCCCCTCTCGTATGAGTTAGCAGCATTTGTCTTTATTTCATTGCTAGGGACCCTTAATGGAAGGTCATAGTGTGTAAATCAGGGATGGTCAATCCGTACCCCAAGTGAGAAGCCAGCAGGAGGCCTTCCTCAGAGGATTTTCCATGTTAGATTACCTGGTATTGAACTCCATTTTCATCTCATCCTGGGGCTTATGCATTTCCATCCTCATAGATCCCATGTTTGATCAACTACCTGGAATGTAGATGGAGTAATTTGACACAAGCAAATCCCAAGGTTTCCCTGGTTGGGCTTTGTCTTTGGAAAGCACCTTACTGAAAAGTCCTCATCACACATCATATAAAAGGGTAACAAATCCTGTGAGATTATCTAGGTCAGTGTTTCTAAAACCCGGGTTCATGGACCGTTGGAGTTTCCACCGATGAATTATCGGGGTCTAGAAGTTATCTGTGAATATTTTCAATTTTAGATGTCCTTCTATGACCATTCGAAGTTAACATAAGTGCTCTCTGGACCGTCTGGCTAGCCACCTCCATAAGTGAATCTGGACACAAGGATTCACTGTCCCACACAAAGTATTTATCTTGGTACCCAGTAGTCAACTAAATATATAAATTTATTGAGATATAATTGCCATACCATAAAATTCATCCTTTTAAACTGTGCAATTCACTGGTTTTTAGTATATTCACAGATTGTACAATGACCATCACTATATAATTCCAGAATATTTTCATTACCCCCCCCCAAAAAAGTCCCCATCCCTATTAGCAGTCATTACCTATTTCCCTCTCCCCCCAGCCCCTGGCAATTACTAATTTACTTTCTATCTCTTTGGATTTGTGTCTTCTGGACATTGCATATAAATGGAATCATATAATATGTGGCCTCTTGCATCTCCATTCTTCCATTTAGCACGTTGTCAAGATTCATCTGTTGTGGCATATATCAGCACTTCATTCCTTTTCGGGGCAGAACATTTTTTCATTGTATCCCATTGTTTATCCATTCATCAGGTGATGGACATTTGGTTTTGTTCCCACTTTCTAGCCATTATGAATAATGCTGCTATGAGAAACTTTTAATTCTAAGTTACAAAAATTCAGGTCTGTTAAGTCTTCAGATACATTGTTGGGGTCTGTGACTCTCAAATTTGAGAAGTACTGACCCAGGCTGACTCCATTGTTGACTAAAGAAAGAAATTGATCAGGTGACATTGACAGAGTTAATGAAAGCTTCTGTGACTAGCTTCATAGTGCAAGCTTGCTGTCTTTTTTATCTGTAAGAAGTAGACATCTTTGTTGAGGGCCGTCCTAAGGTTCTCTCACGGCGAGAGCCACCATTAGTTAAGTGTGGCTAACATTTAACTAATAACACTGGTGTATGTTGATCCAACCCAGATGCTGGGCAGCTTTTAATTCTCCCAACTCCTGGACTGAATACTGGAAATATTTCCTCAGGCTAAAAGCCAGCAAAAAGAATCACCTGGCCAAACATCCCCATCCAGCCTGCTTTTCTTAGTGTGGCCTCCCAGGGGAGCTCTCTAGACAAACAAAGCTTGTTGACCCAGTTTGAAGGCCTGGGAAATTACCATGTGAGTCACTGGGACAACAGAGCAAAGTGCCAGGCCCCTGAGAAATTCTAAGCACAGGCTTCCAGTGTCATTTGTGTCCCAATAGGGGAGGACCAGGAATCTCAGGGAGGCCTGCCACTTTTCACCGAGTGGCTTCCAAGCTCCTTGGCCCTGTGTGTGGTACCACAGAGGCTGAATCCTGTTTTCCTCACAGCAGGCTTTGCCAACAGCAGTTCACAGGGTGACAGCTCAGTTGTAGGAAACCAAAACAACCCTGGATACTTAGAAGAAGTACTTAGAAGAAGACATGTAGTGTTGTTTGGAGCAAGGCCACTGGTTCTTTCTGTGAAGGAAGTGCTGAAGCAGCTACAAAAGTTTCAAATTAAAGACCAAGAGTTCAGAGGCAGTATTTTCATATAATGCTCATAGGAGTGAGGCCAGGCTTGCAAAAGAGTACCTCCAAATTACTTAAGGAGTGTTTTATAATGTTCTGAAGATTCTACTTCCTAAATTATGTGAAGAGCTGGAGAAACATGGGCAGAAAAGCTGTGCAGGTCAAACTTGTGACATTTAGATGGTGTGGAAAGTTGGCGGCCTTGATGGGTGTGATGTCAGAATGAATGCCAAAAGTTGTATGGGTCCTCACAGAATTCTTATGGGCATATAGGACTCCTGGGGAAGGGAAAGTACCAGAGTGGGGGCTTCTAAATATCCAGCATGAGGACAAAGGAGGAGGTATTCATAGGACTAGGTGAGGAGAGGGTCTTTTTCTTTT